CCCCTTCCAGATAAGTGTTTCCTGCTGTTAGGATTTCACCATCTACAATTAGTTTTCCCTCCCAGGCAATTCTTATGCAAACAGCTTCTTGTTCCAAAGTTAAAACTCAGTTATGTTTCCTGTTACTTGCTTAAGTGCACAAACTTAATTTTTTGCATGTTAATTTTATTTATTTATTTAACACATCTAGTGGCTGGTTTCAATGCCCCAAGGCCCAATTTTATTTTTCACCAACTCTTGGGAGGTAAAACTTTAACCTTTATAAAGCTAAGCATTTTATAAAAATCTTGAAGAAACACAGTCTTTCACTCCACCTCTTATGGACTGAATTGTGTTCCTCCAAAATGTATATGATGAAGCCCTCACCAACCCCCAATGTAACTATGCTGGGAGATAAGGCCTATGAGGAGGTGACTGAGGTTAAGTCACAAGTGTGGGACCTACTGGACTGGTAAGAAGTGGAGCAGATACCAGGAGTGTGGGTGCACAGAGGGAAGGCCATGTGAGGAGACAGTAAGATAGTGACCATCTGCAAGCCAGGCAGAGAGGTCTCACAGAAATCAACCCTGCTGGCACCTTGATCTTGAACTTTTGGCCTTCTGAACTGTGACGAAATAAAAATTCTGTTGTCTAAACCACCCAATCTATGGCATTCTCTTATGGCAGTTCTAGCAAACCAATACACACCTATAACTAGCCTGATGTCTTTGGCGTCTGATGTCTTAATAATTCCAGTCATTCTCAGAGATATCTCACTTTTAGACTCATCTTTCCACCTGGCTTCCTGTTCAAGATATTCCAGTAATTTTTCTATCTCTAACCAAAAGAGTACCCCCTTCTGAGAAATATATTAATCTTTATATATAATGGCAGAATACAAACCCATAAAAGGTGAGATAAAGGAAACCAATCCTTTTCCCAAGTTTGAAAATTTCTCCTTGTTTGTTGGATGCTCCTGTGAGTCGTACTATGCCCACTTTCTTGAGGTTGGAGAGCCACTTGTACGCATGTTCATCACTTTTTAAAACATCTTCAAAATCCAGAGTAGGTAGCTGGAGTTCTGAGTCCCAGAACTGACATTCTGTGAATTAAGATAATGAAGAAACCAGATGGGATTACTTTGTTTTTACATAACAGTGAACACCTCAGAGAAGGGACTAGTTCTATAAAGTTGACCTTTGATTTATCATGGAATTTTTAAAGTTTCAGTCATATTACAAATGCCCAAGTTAACAGATTTTCCTCCCTGGAACCATGCTAGTCTACTTACATGTCCCCCTGCTTACTACTATGCCTGATCCATGGCAGGTATTCATTATACCACATTTGTTGAGAGAGTGTAGTTTAGCTTATGGATGGCTCAATCTGTATGTCCTTAGGGCTTCTCTGTCTGGACACTGCTTAGAAACAACCCTGAACACTGTGTGTTTTAACAGCCAGGTCATATTGCTCAACTCCAAATAGATAAGATTGGAATGGTGGACTAGAACATCATGTGCCTAATCTTGGGAATGGGGGGAGTGTTTCCCATGGTAGGTACAGTTCCTTCTTTCTTATTTCATCTGATAAGAAGCTTTCTCTGGGGGTTGAATTGTGCTTTGGAGTCAGCAAAAGCTGGCTATTGGGAGAGTAGAAGAAATGTGTGATCCTGGAATGCATAGACACCTTGGTGACAAAGCCACAGGAAATAAAGTCACCTGCCTGCCTTAGCTCTCTGATTCCTTATCTTAAATGCTCATAAAAATGTTTTCTTGAAAAATAAGAAAGGAAAACAAATATAAGAAATGATTTGGTTGAAAACCACAATCTCCCAAAGGAAGTGGACCACAGAGGAAATGTAATTTTGCCAGGGGAAATAACTCAGATATTACACTTGCATTCAGGAACGACTTAACTCTAGCTAATCTATTTGATTTCTTTATTTTACAGGAATGAATTTGCCTTGAGGAGGCAAACCTTCCTAACAAGTGACAGAATGAGAATTTATGATTTCAATATCATTTAAGCAATGCCTCACTTTTCTAACTGGGGACTATACGTCATGTTACAGAAAACAACCTTAATGTCCCCTTGTAGTAGCTATAGACTGGAAATCATTCCCTCTGATGTCAACATGGCTATATCTGCAGAACAGGGATTTCTTAAGAGTCAGATAGTGGCCTTAGTAGTGAAAAGATGCAGGCAGGTGCAGGAAGCCACTTCCTGCTCTTCTACCAGCTAGCGATAAAAGGACATTTGCAGAGGTAAGTAGGTATGTGCATGTGGGAAGACACAACCAGACTATACCTGCAAATGTAGCCAAAGTTTCTGGGTTATTAAGCTTAACAGCTTGCATAATGAGGCAGAACTTCTGAGGCCTAAATTACAAACTGTAAATTAGTTCTTCCAGGTTGCTGAATTAATTCTTTTGGATGATATTAATATTCTTTATTATTGAATACATTCCACAGGCCAAAGTGACTTATTGTATCTTCTCTGGAAGTCAAGTTTATATCCAGTCACAGGTTCCTAATTTTTCCTTTAACTCCTCTCTCTCTTTGGGACCAACCAGAACTGAAAGAACACTAGCCTTACCTATTCCTTTTGTTGTAGTTTTTTAAAGCATTACTTATCAAGTGCTTGTTACATTTGAGAAAACCTTAGAAGTCAATACCAACCAAATCGCTTTTGCAAAGTGGAGGAGCTCAGCACATGGGCCATTTTGTATTATGCCAAAGCCAGTTGGCCGAAGCAATGACAGACAATGAGGTGAGAAGGTTTGGGGATGATCATACTTTTTTGGGGGGTGGTTTAACATACAAATTCTTGGTTTTCCTTCACTATATTAGCTACTCAACAATTATTTGTTGCTTTATCTTTTTGATAAGCCTCATATTTTACCATGTCACAAGGCACTGTGATAGGCAGTAAGGTGCTCGTAGTCTGTGGGAGAACTGGACATGGAAACTGACAATTAAAACACAGTATGATAGATGCTATAGTTGAAATATGTTCAGGAAACCAGGGAGGCATCGTATCTTCTGACCTCTTATCTCATGTTCCTTCTAGGGATGCCAGCTATTTTTTTACATGCATGAAGTTTGCCAGGTCTGTTTCTCAACTATTTCTTTAAAAATCAAACAGGTCTGGTTTTATATGAAAGAGCCTCTTGTCAAAGAGGTACCCTACTTGGCTTTGTTTTGAATATTCAATGATGAGGTCATTTGCTTTGCCATCATCCCACTTGCTCTTTTCATTTAAAGTTTCCAGATTGTAATATCTGATACCAATCAAGAAAGTCTGTAGAAAGAATGTGATAAATGTCATAAATAATGCTTATTGGCTGCCTAACTAGAAAAGCCATTTGGCTTCCAGTTAATAGAGAAATTTCCTGGGTAAACCATCACTGTTAAGGACATAAATAACACATCACCGTCTCCTCTTTCCAAAGCTTACCCTAAGTATACTATATCTAGAAACTTAAAAAAATGTGTAAAATAGCTTTAAGCTTATTGGCCCCAAATGAAAAGCATTGGCCCATAGAGTATTAGAGGTGGATGTGATGTTAGAGACTCAGCTGGCATCTTCACATTTACTTTAGGATTTCTTGTTGTCATTAGTTCTGGTTATTGACCAATAAGATTGTCTAAACCACAACTGGGGATCCCCTTAGTTCTTGGACACTGTGATGATCGGGCTGAGGACAGATTTTTCATTGCTGTGTAGACTGTTAAATAGATTAGTGTTGTCTACGTGGCCATACAACAAATGTGTTATGTTTCTTACAAAGAGTTAAATAATTTATTGATGAACCTTCATTGTAATATTTGGAAGAAAATCTTATGTCCTGTTGAGAACAAACCAGCCTGGAGAGTGAGTATGGTCTAGATGCAGTATTGTCAAATAGAACTTTTGAGACGATGGAAATATCCTATGTTTGTACTGTCCAGTACCGTAGCTTCTAGCAACAACATATGGCTATTAAGACTTGATATGTGGCAAGTGGAACTAAGGAACTACATTTTTTATTTAATATTGACAAGTTTAAACTTAAACTTACCTAGTCACCTGTGACCGGTAGTATATGAGACAGAATATGAAAAAGGAAAGAGCATGGAGGCAAAGAGGCCTGGGTTTAAATAATTTTCCTGCTTCTTACCAGCTAGTTTCTTGGTCTCTTTTCTGAACCTCTGTCTCATAATTTATAAAATAGCCATAGTTATATTTACCTTGCAGGTCTTTTTTTGACAATACAGTGAGATTGTACAAGGAGCCTAGTACAGTGCCTCCCACATAGTAGACTAATAATAATAATAATAATAATAGTAAAAATGGCTAATATTTGCTGAGTACTCTCTAGGTGTCAGGAACAGCGCTAGGTGCTTCCTATATATTATTTCCTTTAATGTCCACAATAAATATACGCGATAGGTGTTTTCAGTTTTTTCATGTTGCAGAGAAGGGAATAGTGATCCAAGTCCTGTGGCTAATGATTTGCAGAGCTAGTTGGTCAAATCCAGGTGACTGATTCCAAAGTCTGTAATCTTAGTACCTACACGTAAAATAAACATTTGATGCCTTGAAATATGGTCATCCCATGTGTTTTTATGTTCTATGTCTGAATGTTCATAGCTTGTTCTGTTCCTTTTGAAAGAAATCTACCAGGCAAAGAAAGAAGCAGAGCACATTACAATTGGGAACTCTTTGTCTGAACTTGTTCAAGATTGGGTGTCTAAAGATAAACCTTGGCCCTTGTCAGGATTTGAAATGCAGAAAAAACACTGTGAGTAGGTTCCATTGCACAACACTACAACAGCATTGCTTTTCACCTGTTGTGAAATGAACCAAGGCTTAAAAATCAGCTGGCTTCTCTCACTTATGCCACTGTAATTCAATGATCTATGCCAGTTTTGTTTCACTTAAGGCCATTATTACTTTCCAGAGAGCTTTGGTGAGTGTGGCCAGGAAATATAATAAAGAGAGATGGAAGAAACATTTTCACTAGATGTGTTTTCAAAACTTTGGGTTTGTATTTTGACTACTTTGTGGGTTCCAGAAGCATCTGCTTAGGGCACACACTAAACACATCTGTATACATTTATAGCTTGTTTCAGTGGATTTGTTTCTGCATGAGCCACTTTCCTGTGGTAGAATAGCACGCACACACACACACACACACACACACACACACTCTCCAACCCACAAGTGCACACACAATACCCTCTCTTTCAAAACTACAGAATAAGTTGGATTCTTTCAATCCATGTTATACTTTACATGTATAAAATTAGCCACATTCACACAAAGATACTCAGTATAAAGCAAGGCTATCAACATCATAGACAGCATGGTATGTACTATAAATAGTTCAGATGGACAGCATTTTACTTTCAGAGTTTGGTTACAAAGACTTTTAAGTTCTGCGGAGTTTACAGTTTTCCAGCTATAGCTCTCATTTTGGTGTGCCCTGGCAGGAGCTGTGCAGAAATCAGCCACCAAGGGCCACAGGGCAGTGCAGAACCTGTGTCCTAGTATGAGCCACTCATACACTCGGTAATGCTACGTGTGACTTTCAGAGACAGCACTGTGGCTCACCAGTTTCCAAACCTATCACAGTATTTCGAATATAAGCCACTCTAGTTTTCATGACAGATAAACTACATTTCATGAAACCCACCAGTGAAATCATTCTATGATATCTGCACAGAAACCTTAACATTGAAAATGGAATTTAGACGCATTTTTTCAGTCTCCCTCAACTGCCAAACATGACCAACTGGGCACCCCAAAGAAAATACGTTTGACGAGAGTAAATCATTTGTCAGGCAAATACACTGAAAGCAAATTTAAATTTCCCACTTGGGTCTGGGTACATAAACAGTATGGAAAATGACGGAGTATTTAAGGCACGAACCACTCCGTCTAATTTAACTTACGGGCCTGCTAATAAATACTTCCTTGAACATGTGCTTCACACATCATAAAGTTTACGAACAGGCTACATGCTGGCTTTCAAGAAACCATTTGTACAAGGTTTCCTTCTTGGGGTTAGGAATCACATTCCTGGATTCTAAGTTGGATTTCAGAAAAAGAAAAGACACA